TCCCAGGACCCTGAGATCATGACCTGAGACAAAGGCAGAGGCTTAACCCACTGAGCCACCCAGGCACCCTGAATTAAGCTATTCTTAGCATTAAAGAAAAATGTAGATAATTGCTTTGTATGAGAGTGGATTATATGCTAGGTGTAATCCATTTTAATATAATAACAGGGTAGTGTAGGTGTTTTGATGCCATATTTCACAATTTTCATTTTATTAGTTTTGTTTTAATAGTACATATTTAATTTTTAAGGGACCCTATTAGAACTTCAAGTAGTTAAGTAAAGCAGAATAAGGAAGATTGGGTTAAGGAAGATTGGGTGCTCTAGGATTCCATGGAGATGCAGAGATTTTGAGTGAGTTAGAGGATTAGGTCTCTTAGTAAAAAAATTACAGAAGTCATAGTCATAGAAATGTTAAACCCCCAGTGATGTTACCCCTTGAGATTATAAAATATAAATTCGTTAGATTTCCTGTTGGAAACCTGAAGAACATTCCCTTTAAATTATAAACTTCTTAACCGAGAGGAAAAACAAAGTTACTCATGAAAAGTTAGAAATTAAAATAAACACAAGATCAGGAAAGAAGAAAACATTTTATGGAGATCCGCTAAACGAGATTAAGAAATGATTATTCTTTCTTTTTAAATTTTACCTCTCTAGTGCCTTGAATTTACAAGGCTTTCAGAAACCACTGTCATTCATTTGACACTTGGGTTCCTTTGCATTATGGGAATCTAGGTTTTGTCTTAATTTCAATGTCAAATGATGTCAAAGATTCCACTAAGCATCCAAATCAAAAGATTGAGCATAGAGAAGAGCTTGATATGAACACATTTACTCCTAGGAATTTTCTCGAGTTAATACGTTGTCAGAATTATTACTGCATTACTGATGGAACTGGAAATGTAGACTGCCAGTGAAGAGGCTGCTGGGAAGAAAAAAAAAAGGCCTAAAAGATAGTCAAATGTGGGGCACCTGGCTGGCTCAGTCAGAAGAACATGTGACTCTTGATCTGGAGATCTCGGGTTCAAGCCCCACACTGGGTGTAGAGGCTACTAAAAAAAAAAACAAAAAAACAAATAAAAAGACAGATAATATTTTCAAATGTAGAAAATACTATAATCCCTGAGGCAACTGGCTGGCTTAGGTTTGAGAATGTGACTCTTAATCTCAGGGTTGTGAGTTCAAGTCCCACGTTGGGTGTGGAGCCTACTTAAAAAATAAATAAATAAAATATTTCTTAAAAAGAAAATACTGTAAGCCCTAAAACAAACCTCAACAATGTTAAAATAGTTAAAATACAGTGTTCTCCAACGATGGTGGAACCAGCCTAGAAATTAATAGCAAAGGGCAGTGGGGAAACCTGCACATACATGGCAAATAAACTGTATTTGTAACTCATCCGTAAGTCAAAGAGGAAGCTTCAAAGGGAGATCAAAGTATACATTGAACTGAGAGAAAACTGTGGGGAGAAAAGACGATGGAGATCATTTCTTCCTCTGAACCTCTGAGACACTCACACATACACCTTCCCCTCCTCGTGGTTCATGGGATTAATGGCACTGACCAGCCTGCAGGGGCTACTCACCTTGAAAATGAAAATCTCCGCTTTTCTTCAAGTCTGCATGGCCCTTGTCTCTGCTACCATGACAACTGTGCTTTGTGTCTGAATTATTCAAATGCCTCCAGTCAATTTTTACAGCCCAAATTGTTAAAGGTCCACATGTTAGTGTTTGAACCCACATTTTTCTTATTTCAGAAGATAAAATATTCTGCTTCTTGGGGCGTTTCTGTGACTATAGAAATTAAGAAGGCATTACTTAGAGCCTTAGTTCAGAAGGCAGAGAAGAGAAGACAAGGTGTGTGGAGGAAGCAGGAAGGGGGCTGGCTGCCTGACATGAATCTTACCCAGCTCGGAATTCCCAGGGAATTGGGAGAGGGAGGGAAAGAGCTGGAAAAAGCAGACGGTCCACTCAGCATCTTGGCCTGGCCGTGTCTGTTTCCCAGAAGCTCTGCTCTAGCTGCCTGATGGACCACAGGGGCCTTTTGCAGACGCCACACGCCTTCCTCCATTTCCCTTCTCACCTCACAGCAGTTACAGTGAGGCACATGAATGGTTCCCCTGAGCCATTACTCTGAGAAAGAAGGCTGTGGAGTCAGTTATTCCAGTAAAGTCTTTGCTTTAGAGGGGCTTGGACTCCCATCTTGGGTTTGGCTTGACAAGGTTTAAACCACGAAGTGCCTCTCTGTGGGTCTTCTCCCTCCGGAAAGCCGTTGGCTCTTAAAACCACATTGGCTGCTTGTAGTCCTCCTGGATCTGGTCCTCCAGGCACGGCTTCAGATGTTTTATGTGTGTTAACTCATTCAGTCTTCATAACATCCCTGTGAGGTGGGTACTCCTGTCACCTCCATTTTCTAGAGCAGGAGAGCAGGAAGTGAAGGCACCCAGAGGGCAAGGAACTTGGTTAAGACTTTGTACTGAGGCCGTTTACTTCAGGGGCCGGGCTCTTAACCGGAAGTCAGGAGACTTTCTCTAAAGGGCCAGATAGTGAGTATTTTCAGTTTTATGGGCCATTACAGTCTCTGCTATAATGACTTGACTTGGCTGTAGTAATGTCAAGTATGCATAGACAACACTCAAGTGAATGAGCTTGGCTGTGTTCTAATAAAACTTTATTTACAAAAAAAAAAAGCAATGGTCTGGATTTGAACCATGAGCCCTATGTTGCAGACCCCAGCTTTTTTTTCCTTTTTTTTTTTTTTTTTAAAGATTTTTACTTATTTATTTGTCAGAGAGAGTGAGTACATGCAGACAGAGTGGCAGGCAGAGGCAGAGGGAGAAGCAGGCTCCCTGATGAGCAAGGAGCCCGATGTGGGACTCGATCCCAGGGTGCTGGGATCATGATCCGAGCCGAAGGCAGCTGCTTAACCAACCGAGCCTCTGTCAAATAAATAAGATTTTACTTATTTATTTGACAGAGAGACATAGCAAGAGAGAAAACACAAGCAGGAGGAGTGGGAGAGGGAGGAGGCAGCCTTTGGCTAAGCAAGGATCCCGATGTGGGGCTCAGTCCCAGGACCCTGGAATTATGACCTGAGCTGAAGGCAGATGCTTAATGACTGAGCCACCCAGATGCCCCCAGACCCCAGCTCTTAACTGTACCAACACTACCTCTACCTCATTTATGTTTTCTCAGATCCACCTTAGTTCCCACGACATGCCATTCAAATGACAACTATCATTATATCAAACTTAAAGTTTACAACACATCTGCTCTTGGTGGTACTTCTTTGAAGAATATTTTATCACTATGTCCATTTTCGAGAAGAGCAAAATGAGGCTTCAGAGATAGTCACTTGCCCAGAGTCTCAGGTTACAAAGCTCTTTGGCACATTTTAAACTTGAAATCTAACTCAATAAACACCAACTTCCCCATGCTGCCCTTCCATCGTGTTGTTGATATTTTCTCTTTTCCTTCCAAAATGCCCGCCCCCCGCAATATTCTATGCCTGCTTTCTTGTCGGGGAATCAAAAGGAAGGCACCCTGACCTCTCCTTCTGGACCTTCTAGAATCTTCTCTCTGACCTTCTAGAATCTTCTTGATGAAAAATGTTCTTCTGTCATGCCAGGTCTCTGGAGGGTATGGGAATAGACACAGGCTAAGTTTGAGTATGGAGACTGCTTAGCAAATGTCATTCTTTTTTTTTTTTTTTTTTTAAGATTTTATTTATTTATTTGACAGATCACAAGTAGGCAGAGAGGCAGGCAGAGAGGGGGAAACAGGCTCCCCATTGAGCAAAGAGTCTGATGCAGAGCTCCATCTCAGGTCCCTGAGATCATGACCTGAGCCGAAGGCAGAGGCTTAACCCACTGAGCCACCCAGGTGCCCAAAGATTGTCATTCCTGAGAATGAAGCAGGATCAGTCAAATGCAGGATCTATGCGCCAAAGGGCCAGAGGAATGTGAGCCTCAACATCAGTGACTAACATTTATTGAGAGCTTATTCCATACTAGGTGCTGTGCTAAGTATTTTTTATATATTATCATATTCTCAGAACCATACTTAAGATTGGCAGGTCTCGTTATCCGTATTCTACAGATAAAGAAACAGAAGTGCAAGAAGCCCAATGACAAATGCCCTAAGGATTGAGTGTACTGATGCTCTTTCTTAAGGAGAGCTTAGATGTTCACGCAGGGTGAATAGTGCTAGTGCTAGTGCTAGGCAAGAACGTAGAACTTTGCAGCCAAAGTAAACTCCCCCTCCTTGTTGGAGGCCCATGGATCTAGAAGTAGAGAAAAAGGAAGAAGTTCTCCCCAGGGGAGAAAGTGGCTATCAGAACCCTCCCAAACCCAGGTTCTCTAGTTTTCCCACTGTTCAGCTCTGGTGACTGCATAAACTCTTCACCTTCCCAATAAGGTAACTAATGTGTTATGAGATATTATCTCACTACCCTGCCACAGTGTTTTCCAGTGTTTACACAATCACATTACTTCACCTCAAAAATTCTTTGTGGGAGATGGTCAATAAGTCTTCTCTCCAAGGCCTAGAGAATCATCATGGAGTAGAACTCAGGGGAGGTGGGGGGTACTGAATGACAGCCCAGCTTGGTCCAGGGAGCAAACATTCAGTAGACCCGACAGGTCTATTGGTGTCACTGCACCGAGCTCAGATCCTGCTGTCGGGAGTGAAACGCTGGTTGGTCTTTGCCAAAGGTCTCCACAGCTCTTGGAGGCCAAGACCACCTTCACATCTAAGAACAGTTGTGTGTTTTTTCTTTAAGATTTTACTTATTTATTTGAGAGAGAGAGAGCACGAGATGGGGTGGGGCAGAAGGAGAAGCACGTGCTGAGCAGGGAGCCCAACGCAGGGCTCTGTCCCAGGACCCTGCAGTCATGACCTGAGCCGGAGGCAGACGCTTAACTGACGGAGCCGTACAGGCACCCTACGCAGTTGTGTTGTCTCGCTTAAAATACAGCAGTATGCTTTGTGTCTGTACCAGAATGTGAAAAAGACCGACTGGTTCCAGGAATGGCCCGATTCCTACGAGAAGCACATCTACAGCTCAGAGGACAGGAACGCGCAGCGGCACCTGAGCAGCTGGGCCATGCGCAACACCAACAACCACAACTCCCGCATCCTCAAGAAGTCCTGCCTGGGCGTGGTGGTGTGCAGCCGCGACTGCTCTGCAGAGGAGGGCCGTAAGATCTACCTACGACCCGCCATCTGCGACAAAGCCCGGCAGAAGCAGCAGAGTGAGTAGCGTTGGGGGCACAGCGAGGAAGCTGGCGTCCAGCAGCCTCCTCACCCCTCGGGGTCTGCCCTGTGGTTCTCCCCATGCCCAGAGCACCCGCCAACAAAACCGGTCCCTTGGGTTAAGGCCCCTGACTCAAGGCTTCTGTTCAAAAGCGGAGGTACCACTTAGGGGACTCATACTAGTTCATCAGGACCCCACATAAAGTCTAGGAGAACGTTGTTGATCACACTTGACCACGTGACATCTTGGGGAATGGGTCCCCATCCCCCCCACCCCGCCCTCGCCCAGGAGCTCAGTGAATGTTTGGTCTGGAGTGGGAGCAATGGGACGAAGTTTGAGATTCGGCTCCAGTCCACGCCATTTAGGTCAACGCCATAGTCCGGTTCGTTGTGTTCCTCTTTATCACGTCCATCGGATTGTGAAAGAGATGCATCCAGCATTCCCCTGTGCCCTGCCCGCTTTGGATCTCAAGTTACTTCATGTTCTTTCTTTGTAAGCTGTCTTGAAAACTGGCTCTCCAGAAAGGGTCTGGTCTCAGTCATTTACACTTTAATGAACATTTAGGGGCTGTGCTTCTTCTTTTCTGTGACTTTGCTCCTTGACCCTTTAATTCTCACTGGGAAGTGAAGGATTTCTGTCCTCTTCTCTACAAAGAATTTCAGGTCTCAGTAAATACGGAGGGAGGGATTTTCTGCTCAGAAGAGCTCTCCCTTGACCTGTGAGATATCCCAGTCTGTAGGAAACCGCTTCCTCTGTCCCTGTGTGAGACTGGTCTGGGAGGCTTTGATGGCCAGGCTCCGGGGCTCAGAGGTAATGCCCAGTGGAAGGGAGCCCGGAACACTGCACCCAGGCCCATTCTCCACCATCCCGGCGTCAAGCGCCGACTGCGGGGGCCACACAGACTCAGGACTCAGGTGGCAGGGTCACCTGCTTGTGCTCTCTTACAGGGAAACGCTGTCCAAACTGCGACGGGCCTCTGAAGCTCATTCCTTGCCGAGGCCATGGGGGCTTCCCGGTCACCAACTTCTGGAGGCACGACGGACGCTTCATATTCTTCCAGGTTGGATTTGACTTACAGTTAGGAAGTGTGTGCAGAGCACAGGGGGAGGTTGTGTACAGGAGACGGGCAGGGGAATGCGAGCCCGTACCAACCCCGAGGCGTGCTCTGGGCAAGCAGATGTCTGTACCCACACCTGCACACAGGCGCCAAGACCCGGAGCCCCAGGAGGGGAGCTGGCTGATTCCACCTCCGGCCCCTGGGGGGGAGGCACCCTGCAGTAATCTCATTACGCTCAGGCTAGCGCAGTGCTGTGGTCTGTGGTTGGCTTCAACAGTGTGGGTGTGCAGGAGTCCTTGAGAGGGTGGTGCTAAAAACAGGATAAAGTCTGGCTTCTGATGGCAGAAGGTCCGTGGTGTGCTGGTCAACAAACCCTCCAAAAAGAAAATGTCCCAATGGCTAGCGTGATCACAGCGGTTCCCATCGTGGCTCATCTCCAGCTGCCAGCCAGCTCCCAGAATTCCCGAGCATTCTATAGCTGGCTCTCAGCTTGGGCAGCTCCAGCATGCTTTGAATCCCAGCTCCCCGCTCACTCATGGGGGGACAGGGAGGAGTGTCTCCTCCATAGCTGGTGGAGTGTCCCCATGCTTCAGTTCCCTACTCTGTAAGCTGGGGTGGTGATAATGGCGCCAGGACTGATGCTGAAGAGTCAGTGAGGTGTGTGTTGCAGCTTCCTCTGCACACCACAGGAAGCACTTTGTAGTGTCGCTTGCAAGTGTGACTTCACCAGGTGGGCGAGGGGCACCGTGTTCAAAGGCGGGCAGGAAAGCACATGACAGGCCGAAGAGGTTTATGAAGTCTTGGGCCTGCAGCAGCACCCAGTCAGGCGGCAGGGCACGGGGTAACATTCTGTACATCGTGAGGTCCAATCTTGCTGTTTATTTTACCTCCTTTTCTCTTGTAAGTCAAAGGGAGAGCATGATCATCCAAAACCAGAAACCAAATTGGAAGCCGAGGCAAGAAGAACAATGAAAAAAGCACACGTGGCATCTGCCTCTGTCCCCTTAAAGCTGAAGGAGAGCCCAGAGACAAAGGTAACCTGTCCCCCATGTGTTCAAAACATATGGTGACTCCCCACGCCCGTGGTGAGGACAATACCCTTCTCCAGTCCCTCCCCACTGACAAATGAGGTCGAAACCATCCCATCTGGCTCGTCTATAGGGCAGCATCCCCCAGAAAAAAGAAATAGAATCTGGGGTTTTCCTCTTAATTTCTGCCATCTTGTAGCATGCTCTCAAATACTCTTCAACTTCATGTAATTTTAGAAACATCTTCCCTGCTACAATTGCAAGGAGAGACTTGGATTAGTACTTAACCTCTATTTGGCACTTTATATTTTGGTTCAGAAGTGAACCTAAAGTGGTCTCAGCAAAATACCATTCCAAAATGGGCATTCTTCCCCTAAATAGATTAGCAGACTCGACCCAGAGGAAATAACCAGGAAGTTTCTGAAAACATTGACCACCTGTGGGGTTGGGGGTTGGAGAGGCCACACTGTGATGTGAACTCTCTGGCTTTATGGGCATCATATTATAGGTTGGTGGGTTTGTCTGCTTGATAGTGATGCTAATTCCTGTATTTTACTGCTGCTCCGTGCTCCACATTTCTTTTCATGAGGACCGAGATGGAGCCCGTGCATCCATAGAGGTTCTAAGTATGCCTTACGTAGAAAAAGAAAATGTCACTTGGGTCGGTTATAGGGACACGTGAGCCCCTGAAACCGAATGGCAGGTTCTTCACCCCTTCTCCCAGCCATGGGACAAGTTGAAGGGCATTTCCTCCCACTCTACCTGGTCACAGTCTCTCTATCTCCCCCTTCTTGTTACATAAGCCAGCAGATCACTTAACTCTGAGCCAGTTTTTTTTCCCTGAGATGAATTGCAAAGTAGTACGTATGCTTCCTTTATTTATAGAAATAAATTTGCTACTTCATTTTCTAGAGGCCCTATTTATGGGTCAACAAAATCCCCATGAACTTGGCGAAAAGGCTCTTGAGAAGAAAAGCAACAGAACAACCCTAGTCTCTCAGACTGCAAATAGTACTAAAAAACAGAAAAGTCAAGGAAGGCAATGACGTGTGTGTGTGTGTGTGAGAGAGAGAGAGAGAGAGAGAGAGACTGGGTGAGCAAGCAAGACAGAGAGCCCCTGAGAGTTATACTGAGTATAATATAAATCTTTGAAGCTGTAGTTTGATTTTTCTTAAATAGTCTCTTACAAGTTTCTCACAAAGACAGTTACTGTATCAGATTTGTGTTTGAGGATGAACCATTTTCAACACACTCACTCTGCTCAGAGTCAGAGGAGTGAGAGTAACAGAGCTCGTGCTGGTGAGTAGGCTGTACAGTGGACCTGGAGGCAACCTTGACTTCTTTCAGACTTTAAGTGCTTGTGGTGAAACCCCACTGTGTGTTTGCACTTCAAGTATGTGAGGAATGAGGAAAGTTGGACAGAGCGCTTATTTGTACAGAGTAACTCTGGGTGCCTGTGGTAGTCATGTCAATTTGCTTAACTTATTAATGTGAGCTTTTCGCTTTCCTTTCTAGTCTCTTCCAGGTGAAACCCAAAGTTGGGGAAGTTTTCCTTTAACTTGGTCTTTCCAGGAGGGCGTCCAGTTGCCCAGTAGTTACAATGGACGTTTAATAGCTAACACTCCCCAGCAGAAGTCTCTGAATGATTGCTTGTTCTTCTCCAAGAGCTGTTGCTTGGGGGGAACCACTGACCTGGCAGACCCCACTTCCACCTTGGGCCCCACTAAACTCTATGACAAATGCAAACTGTCCAGTAGTTGGATCTGTAATGGTGGGGACCTGCTTCATCCTGTTTCCGGAGTCTTATCTGACTACGGTGATCGGCAAACATGGAATATAAATACTGCCTTGGGGAGACAGTCTCTTAATGACAACTGTTGTCCCAGTTACCCTTTCCCTCTGACCAGCTGGCCTTATGACTTCTCCCCTTCCCAGAGCTCTGCAGAACTCTTTCCCCAGCAGATTCCAGTGGAACCGCCTGCGGCCGAAAGTAGCTGTCGCCCACTATGGCCTAATCCAGGGGGTGAGCTTTATGAAGAGAGGCTGCATGTGGATTTTAACAGCTGCTGCCCTTCCTCCACATGCCACTCACCTCAGGAAGACCCCTTTCTCTTTGCCTACGCCTCCCATCCCCACCATCAATACTCATTGACAGGCAAGAGCAGCAAATGGGATTTTGATGAAGACATGAGGGGCGTGGGTTTGGATCATTACAGCAATGAGATGCTTCTAAACCTCTGTCCTTTAAGATGATCCAAACTGAAAACCTGTACACTATTATCAGGACTACAATTTAGTGCAGACTCTCTGGAAAACAGTATGGAAGTTTCCTTAGAAAACTCAAAGTAGAACTACCTGCACTCCCGTGGTCATTGCAGCAGCATTCACAATAGCCAAAGTATGGAAACTGCCTAAGTGTCCATCAGCAGAGGAATGGATAAAGAAAATATGGTGTGTGGTGTATATATATATATATAAATGTGTGTGTGTGTATATATATATATGTGTGTGTGTGTGTGTGTGTGTGTGTATATGTGTGTATACATATACACATATACACATATACAGTGGACTATATTACTCAGCCTCACAAAAGTGAGGAAATCCTACCATTTGTGACAACATGGATGGACCTTGAGGGCATTATGTTAAGTGAAATAAGTCAGACAGAAAAAGACAAATACTGTGAACTCATTTACATGTGGAATCTAAAAAAACCCAGACTCATAAAAACAGATCAGATTGGGGTTGCCAGAGGTTGTTGGGGGAGGGCGGGAGTCATGGTGGGGAATTGGGTGAAGGCAATCAAAAGATAACGAAACTTCCAGTTTTAAGATAAGTGTACATTTATGTAATTTTGGAAACTGTAATGTACAACATGATGACTCTGGTTAGCAATATTGTATTGCATGTTGGGAAGTTGCTGAGAGAGTAGATCTTAAATGTTCCTACAACAGGGAAAAATGTGTAATTATGTGAAGCAATGGATATTAACTTATTGTGGTAAAAAATTTGGCAGCAAATACATATATCGGGTCATTATGTTTTACATCTTAAACTTATACAATGTTATATGTTAATTATATCAATAAAACTGGAAGAAAAAAAAAGATTACCCAGGTTTTTTATAACCATTCAAGAAAACTGTTTTAAGAAATGGCTGAAAAAATTTCTTTGGGCAAGAGCTTTCAGAACATAACCACAGGTAAATCAGAACCATGGCAACAAGCAGAAGGCAAGACTTCCTCACACAAGTACTTTGGGTCTTCCTCTATTCCAATCCTCTCATCCTTAGCGAGGAATGGAAACTTGTCTGGTCTGTGGTGAGAAATGTCCTCTGCTTTTTCTCCCTCCTCGTTATTTGGGGGGTCTCAGCATCTCCACTGCATTATCTGTTACATTACCTTGAATCCTGTTAAACAGCAGAGATGAGAAGAGCCCACCTACCTAGGATCTCACCTCTGCCTTCTGGGAAGCTGAAGCTGAAGCAACAGGGATAAAGGGTAAGAGAGCTTCAGAGGTGTAGAAAGATGAAGATTCCACCACGGAGGGTTGTTTTTTTTTTTAAGAGTTTTTTTTTTTTTTTAATTTATTTGACAGAGATCACAAGTAGGCAGAGAGGCAGGCAGAGAGAGAGGAGGAATCAGGTTCCCTGCTGAGCAGAGAGCCCAATGCGGGGCTTGATCCCAGGACCCTGGGACCATGACCTGAGCAGAAGGCAGAGGCTTTAATCCACTGAGCCACCCAGGTGCCCCCACCACGGAGGGGTTTAATGCATTGCCTAGTATTAAACCTGTGGGGTTGATTCGTCAACTCTGCACTTTCTGGTTGATTTCTAAGACCTGTCAAGACAAGGAATATGACCTGATCCCATCTAAGACAAAGACAAGACTAAATGGCTGCAGGAGGAAAAATCCCATCGTGCCAAATGGCTTCCTGCTTTTCCTTCTCACTTTCCTTCATGGCCTTCCCCTTCCATGAAGGCTTAGACTCTTGTCCCATTTAACTTTGTTTTTATAGTGGCTAAGTCAGTGGCAAATTCCTAAAGGAGCTTGAGAAATGTTAGCTCAGAAAAGTCCTTGCGTAATGAATGTGGCCATGGTTGGCCAGCCATGTTTGAATGCCAGTTCTTTGCTAAAGTACTTGACAATAAAAGATGACCCTAGACATAAAATCTGGAAAGAACTGTGCAATAAACAAATATTTTCCAAAATTAATTATTTTCTTTCTATTTAAAAGATAACAAATGCACATAATACAAAATTTGGTTGCTGATCTCCTCCTCAAGGCAATATTGACTCTTTCTTGTCTATTCTTCTAGAGATAGAGGTATTCTTTGTGTGTGTATATAGATGTGTGTGGTGTGTGTGTGTGTGTGTGTGTGTGTGTGTGTGTGTGTGTGTGTATAGTACTATATGAGATTCATTTCTAGCATGGCTTTTGTCATTTTAGGACACATCTGGGCTTCCGGTCCTTATAAGCAGATAGGACCTTATAAGCATATAATTGGCTCATTTTTGTTTTAAAGATTTTATTTGAGAGAGAGACCACACAAGCAGGAGAGGGAGGGCAGAGGGAGAGGGAGAAGCGGAAGCAGACTTCCCACTGAGTGGAGAGCCCAATGTGGGGCTTGACCCCAGGACCTGAAGATGGTAACCTGAGCCAAAGGCAGATGGTTAACTGACTGAGCCACCCAGGCACCCCAGGTTGTCTCATTTTTAATGGTACAGAATACATTCCATGACTGCATTATAATTAATTTAAGTAGTCCTCTATTAGCAGACATTTAGATTGGGTTGAATCTACTTAATTTGTTTTCTAAGTGCATAAAACTTAGAGTTTAACAGAGTTCTAAAGCAAGTGCTTATGTAAGCACCATTCAGGCCAAGACATAGAACTTACTGACATTAAGTCAGTTAAGGTCCCCTGCTAGGAGCCCCTAATCTCACCCACTCCTGATCTTAAACCCTTTTCTGCATTCCAAACACTATGTAATTGACTGGCTTTTTATATTTTTACTATGTTTGCATGTACTATGGAACAATAGTTCAGTTTTGCCTTTTGGGGGGAGCTTAACAAATAGAATCATATGGGATACTGTAAAAAAGTTGAAATATAGCTTACATACAGAAGAATGCACAAATCATCTATACAGCTCAGTAAATTGTCACAAGCACACACCAATCTAGCCATCAGCTAGTTAGCATGTAGTTTGCTCGAGATTGTCTCCATAAGAATCAGATTGCTTTGTGTGGTTGTGGTTTGTTATTTTCAGTCGTAGTAAGTTATTTTTTCAAGTTGATTTAAGTAATCTCTGCACCCAGTGTGGGGCTCAAATTCACATTCGTGAGATGAGGACCCATCTGCTCTACCAACAGAGCCAGCCAGGTGCCCCTAAATTATTTTTTTCACCCATAAATGCCTTTTCTCCATGCTCTAAAGCAAGCGAGATCTGCTTGCTAAAAATTTTGGCTCAAAATTCTGGAAAGTAGTGTGCCAGAAATTCATTTCTCCTCTGAGATTTCCAGGGTTTTGAGTCCCCTCTTCTACATGGTCCTTGAGTCTGTAACCACTGGATCCAAGAGTTTGAACTAAGTTTCAAGGTCACTTGTGAAATAACTGAACATACATGAATCTCTCTTACTATTTCCCAAATAAAAGTTTATCCAGCATGTTTTTATTGCTTTGCAGAGAAGAGAGATTCTTTTCTTCAGAGCATAATCACCAATTAAAAACTACAATAGACTTAAAATACACTTTAATGTACCTTGAATATTGTGATTTTTCCTTGTTTTTCAAAGGTCTAATTCTTACCATTCTTCCTGCTCCATCACTGAGAGCAGGGGTGGGGTATATTAGTGTGTGTGCTCAACTTTTTTTTTTTAGACTAAATTACACTATATAAAATTGTATTAGCTTTAGCTACCCATATAACACAATGATTTGATATTTGTGTATATTGTGAAATGATCAGCACAATCAGTTTTGTCAACACCCATCACTGCACATAATTCCAAGCATTTTTTCTTGTGATGAGAAGTATTAAGATCTGTTCTCTCAGCATCTTGCAAATACATACAGTATTGTTTCGTCTTTTGTGCACATATAACTTTAACTGAAACTGCCAAACTATTTTTACAAAATGGCTATATTATTTTGCATTCTTACCAGTTAGTGTACAAAAGTTCCAGTTGCTTCTTGCCCCAATCTTTTAAATTTCAGCCTTTCTAGTAGGTATACGTAGTGCTATTTCAGTGTGGTCTTTAAAAAAAAAAAAAAAAAGGTTGATTGTTCAAAGATTGTATTTGTCAGAGAGAGAGAGCCCAAGCAGGGGGAGCAGCAGGCAGAGGAAGAAGCAGGTCAGACTCAATCACAGGACGCTGAGGTCATGACCTCAGCCAAAGGCAGATGCCTAACCTACTGAGCCACCCAGGGACCCCGATTTATTTATTTATTTTAGAGAGGGGGCGGTGGGGTAGAGGAAGAGGGAGGGAGAAACTCTAAGCAGACTGTGTTGAGTCAAGAACCTGACACACGACTCCAGGTCTCGCTCTCATGACCCAGAGACAAGGACCTCAGCCAGAACCAAGCATAACCAAGCGTCAGCCACTTAACTGACTGCCATCTGGGCACCCCTCAGTGTGGTCTTAATTTGCATTTCCCCTGATGACTAATGATGCTGAACTTTTTGTATACTTATTTGCCATTTGTATATCTGGTGAAGTGCCTATTCGAAACTTCTTTTTTTTTTTTTTTTTTAGATTTTATTTATTTGATAGAGAGCACCTAAATGCAGAAGAAAGGGGGAGTGGGAGAGGAAGAAGCAGGCTCCCTGCTGGGAGCCTGATGGGGGTTGAGGCTTGATCCCAGGGCGCTAGGATCCGGACCAGAGCTGAGGGCAGACACTTAAGGGACTGAGCCACCCAGGAGCCCCTATTCAAAACTTGTGTCTACTTTATTGGGTTGATTTCCCAATAAAAAGTTGTAGGACTTACATATTCTGCTTACAGTTCTCTTACCAGATAAATGTTCTACAGATTTTTTCCTAAATCTTCTGGATAAAAGTCTATAATCGAATATAGGTTTTATGTATTTTTATCCCAGCTATTAATGTCTTTTCTGATCCAAGATCACAAAAATTTTCTCCTTTGTTTTCTGCTAGAAATTTTATTTCTCAACTTTTACACTTAGGTCAGTGTTCTGTTTCTGGTTATATGGCATGAGGTAAGCGTTGAACTTCATTTTCTTTCGCA